GGGCCAGATCTGTCAACCAAGGCTCGGTTACCCGCCCTTCTCCCGAGACTCAAGCCCTGGTCCCCAGGGATGGCCGAACCTCGGTCCAAGCCTGGGCGCCCAGACTTGGCAAGCCCAGGCTTGTGCCAGGCTTGGCCCGTTTCTCCAACACTGGCATTTCGTACGTGGGTTGGCGTATCACACGCAAAGAATTCCAGGGTTTGGCGTGTCACACGCAACGAATTCCGGGGTTTGGCGTGTCACACGCAGGGAATTCCGGGGTTTGGTGTATCACACACAGAAGGAGAAAACTGTTTTGGCGTGTGACACGCAGAAGGAGAAAAGTATTTTGGCGTGTCACACGCAGAAGGGGAAAAGTGTTTTCGCGTGTCACACGCAGAAGGGGAAAAGTGTTTTCGCGTGTCACACGCAGAAGGGGAAAACTGTTTTGGTGTGTCACACAATGAAGGGGAAAAGTGTTTTGGCGTGTCACACGCAGAAGGGGAAAAGTGTTTTGGCGTGTCACAGTTTTCCCCTTCTGCGTGTGCCACGCCAAAACACTTTTCCACTTCTGCGTGTGACACGCCAAACCCCGGAATTCCGTGCATGTGACACGTCTGCATGTGCCATGCAGGGTGCAAATAGCCACGGCCAATAGTATATTTCATCATTAGGCCTAAAAAAACTTTTCTATTTGTCAGAACAATCATATTCGTCAGAAAAGTTTTTTTTGGCTGTATGACGAACAATATTTTTTGTCATGACGGCCGTAGGCAGAGATTCACGGACGCGGTGCGAAGCGGAGCGTCCGTGAAACGCTGCCTTACGGCCGGAATGACAAAAATTTATTTTACGAACAGTTCAGCTACAACTGTACGTGAAATGAATGACGTATTATGCTCCCAGTGGTCAACATTGACGTCAAGCGTCCATGCCGCTAGGAGAAAACAACGCCGCCTCACCATCGTACCGGCGACGAGAACCTCTCAATCGCTAGTCAGCTGACCGACCATCGCTTGTGTGGTTACGTTCATTGAATATCGAAAATAAAAGTAATTTGTTTATCTTAAAAAATCGAGGACATTGCTGGATAATTCCTGAGTGGAATCATAATTTCCACTATTTCCAAAGTTGATTTTCCATCAAACAGGATAATGGGAGTGAAAACAATGTCAAATATTTTCTTAAGTGAAAACGACTTAAATCCTCAAAACAATATTCAAAATGGATTTCCAAAGAAAAAACACTTACCATTTGTTTAAGTGAGGAGTAATTTTTTCTAATATAGGGAAGAGTGGGGCAAAATGAAACAGTGGGGCAAAATGAAACAGTCAAAAAAATGACTGACGCAATTCAAGCCAAAATTTTTTTTATGAATGTTTTTTTATCTACTTTTTTTATTCTTGGGAGTACTTTGTTTTTCTTTTGATGTTTTTATTTCTTCAGTGGGGGGGGGGG